CACTAAGAAAAATTCTTTCTCTAGGGGGGGAAAAAGGTTGGAAGGTATTTTCAGGTTCATATATTAGGAGTGGATGGGGGAGGAATCTTTTAAAATTATTTGGTTTAATTAGGAAAAGAACTTTTACAAGTACCACTCCAAACTGAAACTGATTTATAGCAAAGTGAAATTACCAGGTATCTCCACATACCATCCTTACTCAAAAGGATAACCACCTCTAACTCTGCACAGTCACAGTGCTTCAAATTATCAACATTTATTCTTCAAAAAAATCTGGGCAGATTCCCACAAACACAGTGGGAACAATTAAAGTACATTTCAAGATACTATACCAAAAAAGTTTTTCGAAAGCTTTAGAAAAGTTGACGTAATTCCAAGTATCTGTTCCCAGCTACATATCCAAGTACCTGCTACCATTAAATCTCAACTACCCTACCCTAGAGCATCACCAAGAAAACCGTTTTATCTCAGCCCAGCTAAACGTCCACATAAACTTCATTCTCTCAACAACTTTTATTCTAAAAGGTTCAGAATTGTTTGGGTAACTCCTACTAACTCTTCTGTTGGCGTCTCTCAAGTTAAACAAGTCATCATTAAATGCAGTGTTCAAACAATACCTTTAAGTATGCCATTCTACATTTGAAAGGAACAACTTTAAAACGTGAAGTACTCCCTGCCAATGCTGAAAGCCCTGGAATGTTGTAACAAAGACAGCAACTGGATTACAATAATAAACGTTAACTGCGCATATTATACCAGCACACTGCAATGAATTGCTGGATATTTAATACTAATAGTCCTATGTTGTAGGTATTACAGAAATAATTCAGTCTAACAGTGAATTAAGATTAAGCACTATGACCCACCTGCATTATGTTGATACTCAACAAAAATTTAACAAAGGAGTGCTCATCTTATATACTGTAACTGTGCCACAGCACTGAGATGCTCAAGCTAGACTGGGTTCTAGAAGCAGTCGAGCTAAAGAAGCAGAGTTCCTGCTGGCCTAAATTATTCTGTACAACATAATGCAGACATGCCTGTATTCTTCCAGGAGAATTTAACTCATATATAAAATAATGCAATCAAGAATTTCGGGATCACTAGTACACCCCACAAGAAAACATGCTGTGGGGATGGCCAAGGATGCTACAGTTAAGAGATCTGCTACCTTGCTAACTCCTAAACTAACTGCAATCACTTCTCTAGTCCACAAAGATGACAACAGGACACAGGTGTAACACTTTGTAGTGAGGTTTGCCAAGAGATTAGATTGAATATCATCACCATCACATAAGTACAACTCATTTTTTTTAATGGAAATGCAACTGCCAATAAGAAAGGGGTAACACATTTTTAACTAGTCTCAAAAGCTACATATGAACCCACACATGCAGTCACTAGTAAACACAGAGCCTCATGCATAAGGTATCCAAGTTCCAACTTCTAACTCTCAGTCTAAAACCTTGAATGCTACTAAATTAAGAAGTTCTTGTTTAAAATCAGCATTTGTGCATATTCGTCAAAGCAGAAGAAAGAAACAAATAATGTATTGCCCAAAGCCTCATTTACAGCAGTACCATAACATTTTCCTTAAAGAACCTGCAACAAGTACCACATGGAAACCAAAAGACCCAAAACCTTGAAGCTGTATCATTTAGGTTTTTAGGATGCACATTTCGGTGATCCACTCACAGCTGCTATATCATGCATATTGCCTAAATCATCACTGATTTAAAGGAATCTGATTTTAAAAAACGTTTTCTCACTGTGTCATAATGATAGCGTATTGACAGCATCATTTTGGCATTCCTTTGCTTTTTAGGACATGTTTTTACTGCCTATTCTCATCATCTGTTTATTTTTGGCTTCATTTTTCTAAATACTGAAGCTGCCCTATCAGTTTCACAGGCTTATAAATGTTATACATCAAAAATTAGTTTCACTTATTAAGGCAGGAAACGGCTTTAAGAACTCTGGGATCTGTGCCTCAAAGCAAAAGCTTTATCAGCAGGTTCCAGTCACTGCTTCTTGCAAAAGAAAATGGTGCCGATTAAAACCCCATACACCTGATTTCAAAAAGAACACCTACCAGTGAACATTTTTCACATGGCTGCAAGGGGGGCTGTACCCCAAACTGCCCCAACCCTGCAACATTGCTCAAGAAAAATGAAAACTATACATAAAAAGATGAAGCTGAGATAAAAGAGCAATAATTCATCCACTTATTTCTCTAGAATTCAGAAGTGGTGTACTTCAATACAGTCATAGTATAGTTCCATGCCTGACTTGCTCACAGCGTTGTGTTGCATTTGGAAGTTAGAGGGATACAAATAGCCACATACTTTAAAAATTAACTCACTTCTAAGAAGTATTATTATGTAAAATGAGTTTTAAAAGGGACATTTCTTTAAATTGCAAAGAGAAGGAAAGTAATGATTGAATCAATACTACACAATACGAAAGCAACGTTTTATTAATTGTACTTGTATACAAAACAATGATTTTTGAATCAACCTCTTCCATAATCAAATCTTTTTCTATAGCTCTTCACTGAATCAGAATTAGTCACAGTTAGAATTATTTCCTTAGAACAAAAAGTATTTTAAAAGATCCATTTAAAAAAAAAAACCCACAGCTTCTTAAAAATCACAAAGAAAAATTAATCTTGCAGTGGGTAATGTAGCACATCTTTACAACAGTAGAAAACCCCAGTGAATTCACATGAATTCTGCCTCAACAACTCCTCATGAGATCAAGCCAGTGTCATTTGAGTTTTCCTTCTTTCAACATACTATTTATTCAGATAAACCCACTTAACCAAAACCAAATCAAGGCTGTGAATACTAATAATGTTTCAAGCATTTTGTTTTCAGAATTACAACATGCTAATATTTGAAAGTCAACAATTTGGAGCTAATGTTCCACAAATAATAATACATTGCTGTAGCACCTGAGATATGCTAGATGCTGTACAATCCCATGGCTACCGAAATCAGATAAGAGTTTATCATAAATATTACAAAACCTTAAAACTTCTTACATTAATTTGTTTTTATAGTCAAACAATTTGCACTAGAACATCAGTATGTTTTATTGATTATGTTACTCTAACCACTTTAGAGTAGATGGATAATGACATTTGTGAAGGAGAACAGCAAGTGTTTTTCATGTTGTACACATGAAAGGTAATATAACAATATCACAGTGAGAAGCTGGTCAGACTTAAAGGAACATTAGGACACATTCCTATCACTGTCAATACCTGTTATGTTTGCAGACTTAAGTTTGGTGATCACTGGTGAAAAGGCAGGTAAGAGTCTAGTCATTAGAAACTGCCCTGAGTAACTAAATATAAGACTTTAATGATTGTGTAAGAACACGCACTGAGGAACAGTTAGTTTTACCTAACCTTGAGAACCTTAAGAACTGTATTTCCCATTTCAAAAGCCATCTGTTTTTAAAACCATCACAATATTGTGTTATATTGCATCAAACAGATTTAAATCTGCAATTTTACATTAAAGCTTAGCTTGAAACCCTGTACTTAGGAAATATATGAAATATTTGTATGAGAATGAGAAGTATTTGGAATTTGTCTTTCCTTTCTTAATCCTTTTCTAATACCTTTGAATTTTGCTAGTATATATATTGGACAGAAAATTCCCATTACCTCTGCGAAGATGAAGAATATGCAAGATAGAGGAATGAAAGCAAAAATTATATAATTAATTTCTAATATAAATCTAGAATATTTATAGTTGAAATTGTATAAATCAGACCACTTAAAAATGATAGCTTCTCCACTCACCTCAAATTGTACTTATTTAGTTGTTTTTTCTTACTTGGCTTCAAAACTATTCCAACTATCTTTTTTATCCTCATTTCCTTTGTTTGCATTTTCTCCCCTGCGGACAAATAGCAGGGAGCACAACAGCCTTCATGGATTTCAATTACGTACTTCAGCTGCTACCACGTACCATACGTGCACCAATTTAACTACTTCTTATATGAAATTGCAGTTACTAGAGGTATCTGATAGATTCCTCACCAGTTTAAGTATTCACTCAGCACTACATACAAATTTAAAGGATCCAATTTTTGTAGCAAAGAGCAGCAAAACCTTCAGAAAATTACTCAGATACACCAACTAATACAAGATACATCTTGAAAAAATTGAGTTTCTCTCACCTGGATTTTTTTTTCTTTTTAAGATATGCATTTATAGACTAAAAAATTATGACAAGAAGAAAAAATATCCGTTCATTCTATAAACATCATTGTAACGCTACAGCAATGTTTGACATCCATCTACTCCCATTCTTCTTCAGAATTCTTCCAGCCACCAACTCCTGATCACACAGGAAAAAAAGCACTGGCACACAAGTTTGAGTTTATCTGTCCTTATTTAGGCATGTCTTGCTCTAAGCTTGCCAAATCTCTACCTTTCTTCAGGCTTCCCAAGCTTATTGAGGAGGGAATGCAAAGAAAAAAATCTAAGGCACAGGCTGGCACACAAGTTTGAGTTTATCTGTCCTTATTTAGGCATGTCTTGCTCTAAGCTTGCCAAATCTCTTACCTTTCTTCAGGCTTCCCAAGCTTATTAAGGAGGGAATGCAAAGAAAAAAATCTGAGGCACAGGGAACTGACAGGAAGAGAACATACTACTCGTGTTTTCTTGGCTTGCGACATGCAGAAAAATCAACAGCTCAATATAGATGACAAGTTACTGACTCCTCTGACTCGTGGAGTCGGCATGAAGGCTTTAAAGCAAGGTTACTTGGGATCGTTCACGGTTGTATTTTCAATTCTTACACATAGCTACAGCTGTCCAAGCATTACTAGATCAGCAGCAAAATCCTTCAATTGCTGACAGAAATCTGCTTAGGAAATAGGAAAGATGCCCCAAACAATCTTCAATGCTATTTTAGTTATGACACTTTTTAACAGATGTACAAAACTAAATGTTTCCTCAGAGCTTTTGTTAATAGCCCACTTACCTCACGAATGGCTAATCTATCACTCAGCTCCTCAGCCTTATCAATGTCACCTTCAGCCACAGACTTCTCTATGCTAAGTTCAAGGCCAGACTAGAAAAAGAAAAAGCAAATATCTTTAGGACAAATAAAGAAATAACACATTTAAAGGGAGCACCTCCCTTCTAAAAATATTTCTTTCATAAAATCCTTTATTTTAAGACACTGCTTAAACCTGTAATTTCTATGTAACACAAATCACTTTGTCTATGTATTGTAATGGACAGTATAATTAAGAATTCACTGAAAGGATGCCTGAGCACAAATCATTGCATTAGTTCCACCTTATGTGCAGGATAATACTGTAGGTTAAAAAAATTACACGGACTAGTTTATGCCTGTCACAATAAAATTTCATCTGAAGATCTCGCTTATCTCTTCCATCCGTGGAGCTTTCTAAACAAAATGTGAAATATATGTGTCAGGTAACATGAAGAATGGCAATTACCACTGTATCGTTACAGTTCTAAGATCTTATCTTTATCCAAAAACTGAGTTCTGGCATGGTGCCACTCCACTGTGCTAATAAATTATAAATTCTAGCAGTCCTATGGAAAACAATGAAAAAGCTTCAGAATTTAACCTCTGAAAATAACCTTTATGATCAACGTAACATAACTTGTTTAATGACAACATTTACAAATAATGTAACAATAAAAAGTAAATATTTACTGGAAATTATCATTGGAAACTTCTGAAGGAATACAGAAGGGTAGCACAGCAGTAAGCACTGACTTCAAAATTTCACAAAAACCTCTCTCTCATAACAAAAGACAATTTACAGCCTCACTGGTTTTAAGTATTAGTGATGCTAAAGAAAACACATTTGACAGTCTCATAACATATACTTTTTTTTTTCAAAAGATAAAAGCAAAAAAGCAAACAGAATTCTTGAGAAACAGTGATCTGCAAATAGTGCACTTGAATTATCCAGGTGGAAGTTGGGGAAAAAAAAGTGCACAATTCGAAGCTGCAGCGATAGCCAATTCTGTTATATGTCTGTACTGAAATTAATGAGGCATACGTTCCACTAGTGATAAAATTTCTGAACTTACGTGGAAAGCACATGCATTTGAACACTTTGGGCCTCGTTCCAGATCTATCCCGAGCAGTTTAATGACAACTAAATACCCACCAAAAGTAAGAACTCAGACAGAAGCGAACAATATCTCATGACTTGCATGCAGAAACTTACTTTAGGCAAACAAAAAATACAAAATTTATCATAAAGGAGGCTAACTGAACATTTGATGTCATAGAACTTATACAGGCTCTTACTACAAAAACTACAGAACAGTGCTACGAGGAACTCACAATATGAGTTTCCCAACTTGTCCATCATGCTGTACCAGTTATTTCAAATATGACTAGTTACACAACAATATTTATGAACAGAATGTGTTATAAATCCAGTAAAACTGTATGGTAGGTTTGGCCCTCTAATTCCTATAGCCACTGGTGTCAACAAAAGGATTTACTTGAACATTTTAAAGGTAAAACACAACTAAAAACACAAAAGAAAAAAAAAGTCAAACAATGCATATTGAAGTTTTCTGTCTCTCATGATAATAGAAAACAAAACCAGACAGGAAACAAGCGTGGACACTGTCTTAAAAGAAAGTACAGCAACCTTTCGATCCAAGTATGATTCATGTGATATCTAAAAGGAAATTAATTAAAAATATGCACAAAGTTATCCTTCTTCAGAGTTACTTGATCATTTACTCACTTTCAAATAGTCTCAGTTTTATTCCTATCTCAGTTAAGGCTGAGTTCTTTTACTGCTAAGTACAAGCTGACATTGCTTTTATATCAACAGTCACCTTTTGTGGAGCCCTGCTATCCACAGGTGATTCAAATCTATCATTGATTCCAAAGTATTGTGTAAGTTCTTTCCATTTGTCTTCATTTGCCAGCTGTTGACTACTAAAAACAACAACAACAAGTCATTAATATAACCAGGTCCCTTTCCACAACTTGTAATATTCTTTTCAACACTAAAAGAAATTCTTCCATTTGGCAGACATGCTCTTTTCACCCATTCAGTTTTTAATGGAAGTGAAATTAATTATTCCTTCCCCTCTGTAAGCGTAATTCCACAACCTTGAAAGCAAGCTTATGGAATCATTTAGGTCGGAAAAGACCTTTAAGATCATCAAGTCCAAACATTAACCTAACACTGCCAAGGAGGAAAAAGAAGAGGAGGAGGAGCAAGCTGAACAGGAGGTTGTATGCAATTACATGCAAAACATCATTAGGAATAACATTAAGCCCATTTTAAGTTACATTAAATAACATATTTGTGTTGATTTTTAGAATCAAGCAATAAACTCTATCAATCACTGGTATCAAATTCAGCCTGCCCGACGGAGACACTGAACAACTTCAGCAGATATTTTACATGATGTTCAAAGCTAGGCTTTGGCCATGCATGTGATCAAGCTTTTTACAAGTTTTGCCTGATATTAAAAACAGACCTCAGATAATCACATTGATCTGGTTATACCTCTTAGTCACTTCATCGTTCTTTTTCCATTTTTCTAGGGGGAGAAAAAAAAATAATCCAACATTACACAGTAATACCCCACAGCATCCAATGAAGTTAACAGATCTCTAATTGGTTACATTTCCTTTGAAAGATTGACACACTGGAATTTTTACCCAATGATCATGTGGATTGAAACCACTCAGCTGTAAGACTTTTTGTAGGAAGAACCTCCTACAATATCTGTGAAGAAGTTTTAACCAGAATACACAAAAGTAGGTTTTATAGAATTACAGAAATACACTTAGCCATTATAAATCAGTATTAACTAAGTTCTACCTCCTTTTTAAGAAGAGGACAAATGTATCACTTGAACATTAAGCAGCAATTTACAACCTAGTCCTCCAAGTATGTATACAACTGGAAAAATAAAATCCTAGATAACAGCTAGAATACATCTACTTAGGCACCAATTCTTGGTTAAAAAAACCAAAAACACCACCAAAACAAAACCAAACAATTCCCCCCCCCCCCCAAGCCCCAGCAAATCCCACTTCCAATGTATTTGATACTAATTCCGTTTTGAGAAAATAAATTCTGTAATTACATAAAACACCTTTTCTGTGGCGCTTTCTTTTTCGGCTTTTGTTTCCCTGATTTGCTTGGATTTTCATTTCACGGTTTTTCTTCTGAAGCTCCACAAATTTCTACAAGATTAAGAAAAGGTAAATCAGTATTTTTAAGTTTTTTTCCCCCATTTTTAAAAAAATTACATAATGTGCTGAGAAACGTTACCCCGATATCTTTTTTATCCACAGTACCTTATTATATCTATTACATTAAAATTTATGCATTGAGAACATCCAACTCTGATGGTGTTAAACTGGAATTGGCTCTAATCTTTCATCACCTCTCTCTGCCCTAAATCCCAGGACTATTCAAACCCAACAGTTTTCTCATGGGACATGACACTGAATACACTTATGCTGGTTGTGCACTCCTGAGCTATTTAGTTTGTTATTTGTTTAGTTTATTGTTATTGCCTAGCTGGTAGTTTGTAATCCAAGTATTACTGACAGCATAGTCCTTGCACAGCAGGCTGCCTACATGGATCGATGGATGGAAGAGAGTAACTAGTTTTTGCCAATTCTTATTTTGACTTAAAAGCCTAAAACACAGACTGCTTTGTTTATATTTTTTTTTTTCAGTCTTTAGATGCAACAAGAGAATCAAGAGGTTATAAGCAACTATGAGTCTGAATGTCTGCAATTAACCCCTACAGAAAGCAGAAAGGTACACCTCTACTTCGCAGATATGCATCACCAGTACAGTGACTGATACACTTTGCTGTAAATCCTACTGCAAAAAGCAGTTACAAAGAATCTCAAGAGCCCATACACTACCAAAACCAAGTCTTTATGCAACAGTATAGTTACCCAAATATCTCCCTGCTGTGCTTTCAATCACCACTGCACTGGGGAGGAGGGGGAGTTACATTCATTTCCTATCTAAATTCCTGTCTACCCTGCCTGAAACAATCTAAGGTATATTACGATGCCTGCACTTCGATGATATTTTATTTCATTTCAGATTTATATATTGAATATTCAACATTGAGTTATTTTAATTTAAAAATTAGCCATTCGACTTTGAGTATGTTGCATTTATGCTCTGGACATTTGGAGACTTGTAACGATACCCACATTCCACATATTTAAAGAAATTCCAGAAGGGCACGTTTGAGATTCATTTTCTCCATCTGTCTCTGATAGCAAAATGGGTTCACTGACGGCATTACTTTCACATCCATTTTCCTGGAATTCAGAAAGCTGAACTCTTTCAATATCTTCTTTTGCATCTTCCTTTGAAAAGGAACCACGCGATTCATCTTCCTCATCAGAACTGAAGTCAACATCACTTTCACTGAGTCCTGGAGGTAACAGTCCACTCCACATCTTCCAGCTTAAACAAGTCCAAGCCACTTCAAGTCACTGCAAAGACACCAGAGTTATGTGAGCTTACCCATTCCGAGATAAAAACATAAATAGCCTGCAGAAAAGCAGAAACAGCGAAACACATTATCAGAAATATTTTAATTTCTCGAGAAAAGTAGCTATCATTACATGTTTTAAACAAGCACGTTATAAAGCTTCTAATACTTACTATATCAAGGAGAAGTTAAGCAGAGGATTTAAGAACACAGGTTGAAGCTATTAGCTCTCTTTTTTCCTTCCTTGCTCTTTACAGTTTTGTCACTTCGCATTTGCTTATAGCTGCTTCCAGCTGAAGTGCGATCCTGCGTCAAACGCCTCCCGTCCCTCTCCACGGGCAGCGGGGGAGCACACCCAGCCCTTCCACGCGGTCGCTTCCCAGGACAGCGCAGACGCCTCCCCTCGCCGCTCCCGCCTGGTGGGCAAGGCCAGGCCCGGGCGAGCTCCGCCGGCCCCCGGGGGGGAGGACGGAGAGGAGAGGAGAGCCCGCTCGGGGAAGGGGTAGGCCGGCGAGGCGA